CTATCTTCGCATGGTTCAGAAACTAGTTTCACTTTTTTAATTTACATTACGTAAGATACACGTAACTGCTTGCAAAAATTGTTAGAGATATGGAAAAAGTAGTTCGATAACATCATCTATAAATATCAAGTACAAATAATAATGTCTTTAAATTAATACATCTATTACGTTGATATGTTATTGCGGCCTGTAACAAAAGATGTTGGCTTGATTTAATTCAATACACGGGTATCTTGCGGTATAAATTCTTTATAACTACAATACTGTTAGGGCTGTTTTTGCAAATACAGTATTTTAAAAATGGTTATACATTTACATTACGGTTACTATTAGCGTCGGTCCTATACATTTTATGACGTTTTATCGTCATTCAGTTTTTTTAATAAATCTTGATTGAAAAAGTGATAAGATTTGAAATTTGAGGTAGTCTACTATTATATTTAACAGTAATCAAGTAGAACAGTTGCTAATAAGGACCGCTATTTTACCGTGCTTCTGGCAGGAGTTGTTCCTCCACTTGAGCTATTGTTGCGGCTACTACCAGTCCTTTTATTGTCAACTTCATTTTCGTTGTTGCTCTAAAACAGTTAGATAGGTAAATTTTAAATCGATAAAATTTTAATTACCTATTTCTCGGATAATATTAGTTGTACTGTAGAGTAGATTATATTCCTATATGGTAATGTAATGTCTTCATTTACCGATAGCGATATCTACTTTATTCAGAGTCTAAATTTTGGTTTCCCCTTTCCGGGCAAATTGATATAATATGATACGAGAGAATTGTTTAAGTTGTATATGGAATAGGTACTAGCAAGGAGTGCCATGGGCTACAAAGGTGTAAAGAAAATCCTTAACAATGTTACTGGAATCATGTCATATATCATGATGAATGTAATACAGCGACGTGCACTACATAAAAATATAGATGAAAGAATGGATATTGTGTTTGTGCCCGATTTCAATTAGTCTTATTTGCCGATCAATTAATTTGAAGATTTACAGTACATTGTAATTCATTTACAGTCAACAACCATTCTCTTAACAGTTCAACTGATACATTAATTAAGGCATAATAGGCAAATTTTGGGTTGAGAATTCCGTTACAGTCTATAATAACTGAATACGTTTCCCATTTCGTAAACTGTACAAGCAATAAATTCCTAGCCATTCTGCTATTATTATCTTGACATAATGATATATATATTTACTATCTATCATTAAACTGTACAGTTTTCAAACTTTCAATCTAATTGAGGTTAATACTGCAATGTATAGTAAAAATACCGTATCTGTGCAATACGTCCTACCCAATCCATAAAGTTTGGTTTCACTTTTCAACAGCATTACTGTAATGCAATCAACTCGATATGTTATCGACAACGTAAAACTCTTGTTGATATTATCAGTAATCGATTTCTAACTTTACAACAGAAGTACAGTAAGAGGCGAAGGTAGATCTTATCATAAAATGTATTTCCTCATCATTAATTCATTTCTTAAATAATAATCATCTAGCTCTCAAAAAGTCACTAGTGGTACTGCCGACAATGTCAATAATACCATTGCATGCTTTCAAATTGTTTTTTTAAAGATCCATTTCCGACGAAGACGAGATCATCAAAAATGCAAGTCAATAATCGTTCAACAATGTTTCTTCCTTGACTAATGTAATTTGTAACTGAATAAGATTTATTACAAAATGTTTTATGTTCATAAAAAATTTAATTTCGTCTTCAAGCTGATCTTAAAGGGTGAAATAAATATGAAAAGTAAGAGTTATCAGATATGGCCAAAGTCGAACGATTGGCCATACCTACCATTCGCATGTTAAAAATAATAAGAAAATGTGGCTATTTATGATCTGTCCAATAAATCTTTCAGCTTATATAAACTTATAGCAAGAGTAATTGTGGAAGTAGTCCTACATTCCGTCAATGTTGTATGGAGATTGTTACTGGCTAACTTGACTAAAAGGATCCTTTTAGTGGTAACCGTTTTACAACACAAGTAGTAGTACCGTACGGATATCTGTTATGTTATGAACCTATTGAGTACATTCCTTGTTCGCTTGTTTCCGATGTGAATTCAACGATAGTAAGTCAGAGTCGACGTGGTATAGGTTATGTAGATTGTGAAAACTACCTTGCATGGTATCTAATTTTATCACACAAATAAGGATGTGTACGTCTTGGATGACAACATTAGTCGGTATCTTCTTCTGAATGTGTCTCTCTTTTATGACAACATTAGTCGGTATCTTCTTCTTAATGTGTACCTCTTTAGTGACAACATTAGTCGGCATCTTCTTCTTAATGTGTACCTCTTTTATAACAACATTAGTCGATGTCTTCTTCATGTGTACCTCATCCATGACAATACTAATCGATATCTTCTTGTTCGTTTGTTTCGAATGTAGGTTGAATTACAGCAAGGAACCATGTTCCATACCGTCCTTTCGATTTTAATATCATGTACTGTACAGGGCTGATTTTAAACTGGTTTATTGCAGATGTTATCAAGGGCCAACTTGAACTACATGGATGTTACCGTAAGTCTTTTGTAACTGAGCTTGTTTTGGACGTGAATTGCAGCAAGAATTCATGTTATACATAATAATCAAGATTTTGATGTTGTGTATAGTACTGATTTTAGACTCATTAGGCTAACTTGAGCTACATGCACGCTGAACGAATGGTGTCCCATTTCATAACCAGTAAAATGATATGTCTATCAACTATGACTTCATCAATCGATATCCTCTTAGCTTGTTTTAAACATGATTGGAATTGTAGCAAGAGTCTATACTACATTCAATACTCAACCTGTTAATGGCATAGACATGATTGATTTAGACATAGGGAATGATATGGCCTATTAACTATGACTCCATGAATCGATATCTTCTTTAGCTTGTTTTGGACGTGATTTGAGTTGCTGCAAGAGTCTAGTTGTCTATTCAAATGTAGAATGTTGATGGCATTTCCCGGAGTGATTTTAGACTCGTTTATAGAGGATATTTGTCATGGGTTAACTTAAACCACATGAGTGCTATCATTATTTCATTCTAAAATTTATGCTATGTCCATGTTGGATATCCATTCAGATAGAGTCGATGTTGTCTACGACACTGGCGACTTTTGTCAACTACGTCTTACCATGTTGACGATATTGGTCATTGGGCAAGATGTCACTCTGTCTATTTTCTCGTGATACTGTATATCGAATCTACTTCATAAGGAATCCTAGCCTATTTTACGTTTATTTGGAGTGATGTTGATTTTTTTCTCCATTCTGTTACGACATCGATTGATTAATTCAAGTCAAATACCGTGAGGGATGGACTATCGGGTATTTCCAGTATTTACTCGTCTATGAAATGGTATACAATGTGGGCAAGTATGGATTCTACTAGGGCTAAGTGAACTTTTCAATCATTCATCCTGGTGCATGATGACATTGATGATTACGTTTCATTTTCTTCTTATTTATGGCCATAACGATCATTTTATACAAGTTTGAACGGTATCCTTGTCGATTTTACTCCTCTTTGACTAGTGGAGTGCCTTGTTTCTATTCAGTGAAAGTGCAATTTTTTTTGTTTTTCATTGGGCTCAATGAATTGATCCACTGAAAGGATCGAGAATGTTGGTCAAGTGTAACTTCATAGACTGTCTACTTAGTACTATTTCATTGCATTACTTTGCTAGGGACTCATGGCTCTATTAGTACAAGGTTTTGAAGGTGTTTTCATGCTGGGAGAACAGAATAGACAGGAGAGAAATGGAAGTGAGTATTGAATGAAATCAAGTCTGTAAACATGGTGCGTCCGACTTAGTAAGGGGTTTTTACTCATTCATCGACCTGACTACCATCCTTTCTCATGCACTAAACTAACAAAATAAGTAGACTTTATTCCACATGCAACAACAGTCAAGATCGCTCTTGATCCTGCAGGTCAATAAGATGAAAATAGCCATGGATTAACATTGCAATAGCTACCTTTTCTTGTCCAGAAGGTGGTTCTTTGCCAGCATCCGCCATGATGGCTGGTGTCCAGTGCTGTACCTGTCATGCAATTCGACTGACACTCCAGTACTGAGTGACTCGCGTTCGCTTCACTTCGCTAGGCACAACAATCATCCTGCTGGTACCGTACCGTACTGTACAATGCACTCTGTCATTTGTGTACTGTACACTGTACTGTACTGTACTGTACAGTGTACAGTACAGTATGACGTCTACACGTTAATATACTGTACAGTACAGTACTGTACACTGTATGTACAGTCCAGTAATAATGCACTGGAGTGACCACCGCGGTGGGTGTGAGCCCTGCAAATTCCAACGCGTCAACGTGGTAGAATGATGTCACAGTCGACAGTCGGCCGCAGATGCTTGACAATGAAGAGACATGACAAGTCCTAGCTACCGTACCGTCCGTAAATATGCAGTGTCTGACTGTCTGCTGCCGTCTTGATCAAAAACGATGTCATCCCTATCAACATATCCAATGTGATAGTAAACAGGATGGTCGGGCCAGGGAAGCAAGCCAGTGTATGACATTCTTTTTACGCACTATCACTCATTCTATCAGGGAATTGGCTAGCAACATGGAGCATCACTAGCAAAAATAATGTCGTAATACGGCCTACAAATTAAACTAGCAAAATCGCTATGGGTGACATCATTTTTGTACTGGTAGGAGGCACAAGAGTACCAGTACTGTAACCGTCCCAGACTGCATGTCACATGATCGTACCCGTCACCACAGCTAGGTTGACGTCCAGTTGAGTTGAGCCTCCTCTGATATCCTTGGTAACTGGACGCCATTTTTGCTCCTTGTTCAATGTCTTGCAACTATTGCTGGAAAAAAAAACACTCTTGGTTAGCGCTATAGACGACCGTTCAAGACTTCATAAAGCTGTAGAAAACAGATAGTTCAATCAATTTAGTGAAGAACATCAAGTTAAGCTTGTAGTGGAGTTGGTGGTGCAGTTATGGCCATTTATGATTTTTACATTTTCCATCGAGAAGGTACTTGCATCTATTACTGCCAATGGCACGGCAAGAAACCGCCATCGCCGTCGGTGACAGAGGTAAATGCAGTATGGATAATGTAATATTGATGCTTTAGCCTCTAGTTGAACTCTTCAGCCATAGCGAGTTGGTGATAAGACACGTCAGATCAGCGACATACTAAATACGAAGAGCAAATGCATTGGCCAACTTTTGACACCGTTAGACGTATTACTATAAAAGTGTCGCTTAGCATGTTCTACTAGGAGTACAGTAATAAGATGATTGGAAAACGACTAACGCTAGAACAACTGGTAGTGAGTGGAAGGGAATGATAGAAAGCAATCTACTGTACTGTGTTGGGCAAGATTTTCAACATTTACCCTGCCTTTCCCAGCCAGATAAAGTCTTTTACTGCTATTGCCTGGCCGGTAGAAAATACTTTAAAATAAAATAAATAAAATGAACCGAGATACTGTAAGTGGTACATCGACCATACTGCAAAGACTCCTATAGTATGCCTACTCATATACAACATTGTATAGAAATTGTATATTGTAGCTACTTTGAAATCGAGAATGATCACATCAGATTGGTCTAGTTCCACAGATTGCAATGGAGTAGAAATCATTTCTCTAGTTTTTCTGGGGGGTTTCTAAGGGTACTGTGGCTACATTTAGGAAGACGCATCTGCAGCCTTAGAAGAACGGCAAATCTAAAATATTGGGATCTACATGGAGAAGACATACTTGTACACTTGAACTAGCCAAGATTGCGTTTTACATAGTAAATTATAGTGTAGCTACTAGTTCCACAGATTACCAATGGAGTACAGTAGAGATTATTTCTCTAGTTCCTCTAAAAGGTCTGTAGAGTACAGTAGCTACATTCAGGAATGACGTATTTGCAGTCACAGGAGAAGAACAAAATCCAAATGTTAGAATCGACATTGAGAAGACATACTGTACAACTGCTACATTTGACGAGGCAAGATCACATTTTAGATAGTGAATTATGTTGTAGCTACAGTTATAAGATAACAATAAAGTGGATCAACAATCAAGTTCGATGGCTAATCGACCACATCGGATTCGTCTACTTTCACAGATTGCGAATGGAGTACAGTAGCCACATTTAGGAAAACGCATCTGTAGTCACAGGAGACAGGAATTTCAAATGTAGGGATCGACGCAGAGAAGATGTACTGTATCACTCTGACACTTGAACTAAGCAAGATCGTATTTTAGATGGTCAATTGTATTGTAGTTGTCTGTCTCCTTAAAATCGAGCGACTACATCATCTACATTATCACAGATTGAAAATAGAGCACTGTAGCTATAATGCAAACCTACAGTCACAAGACACGAATTGATAATATCGTCAAAATCAATAAAACAATCAATCACCAGTGTCACGACAATACGGCAATATAGAATAGATAAACTTTAATGTCAAATTGGCTAAGCTATGGCCTTGAAAGATAATTATTATAAAACTACTGTGCATACTGTCTCTGCTTTCTCATCTGCATTGCTCAATCGAATGCATTTCAGGAGCATCCTGAAACAATTGAAATAAAATTCACATTATTAAATTTTACATCTTTCTTCAACAGCATAATTGCAAGCTGATGTATGGTTTACTCTACTCACTGAAATCATTCGTACTTCGAATCTCACCCACGGATGGGTAAGTTAGTGCTACTTATTCCTCGATCGATAAAAGATACTCGTGTAGATATATATATACAGTACTGTAGTACTAGAATTTGTTATATCTACCTGAAATATAACGGTACTATTGTAATAGTCACTGCAAATTAAAAAAAAATTCAGCTACTTTGTAACATAACAAAATTAAGGAAAACCAATTTCCATGTTAACACATTAAACTTTGATGTGTATGTAATTGAAATATTTTTTATTAGTATAGCAACTAGACGAAAAAATAGAATCACCTTAATTTGTGTGCATTTTAATTCTTACATCATTTAGCAAGGATCAATTTTCCAGTTACCGGACTAGTAAGTATAAGTTAAATTATTATGAAACTCCAAGTGGAATAAAGTTTGTCATGACTACCGATTTGGGTGTTGGTAATATTAAAGATATTATGAAAAGTATATACAGAAAGGTAAATCAATTATACAATTGAATAAACACATTAACTTCAGAATAAATATAGAATAGGATAAACTACCATTCCTAAGTGATAGATCTGGATACGTAATGCCATTTGGCTATGTCCTATATATTATACATAATAGCTGAATTTTGTTTCTCTCTTATTTTAGATTTATGTGGAATATCTAGTCAAGAATCCATTTATTGATGTATCAAAGCCGGTTTCTAGTGAATTATTTGTTTCTAAACTAGATGCTTATGTAAAAGAATTACCCTTTTTTGAACCCAAACAATGAAATTGGCCTCTACAGTAGTGGTTTGAGAGTAGCATCAATTTAATGATATTGCAATATATCTTTGAGAGAGAAAAGAGGATAGACTCCAATAATACTATGTACTGTATCACACTATGTATCTGCTCTAGGACGCTATCCATTTTTGATGTATTAAAGTTGGAATTACTACTTTGAAGCCTTGTAGACGCATACAGTATTTGAGCACTAAAGTGATTTATTCCAAGCTTGTTACAATAATTGTCGTAGTAGAAAGATTGGTAATTTGAATGTGCACATTGCTGTGTTTTTAATGGATAGAATGGGACTGATCAAGTGGGTATACATTGTATTAGCATGTTCAATGGTGTTGTATAGTTATCTGATGAATGCATCAACAACACAAATGCTTGTGTGTGCGTTCAGTAAGCTGTTTACTGTGAAAAACCTTCATTTTAAATTTTGTACAGTATAGTAAAATGAATATACTAAGTTAAGATACGAAAATTGTTTGTTATGATGTTTTACGTAGAATATAAGGTGTAATTTTAATTGTTTATTGATATTCACCAAACGACTAGTTTGAACAATTATTATACATTGTAAAATAACATTTGGCTAATTTCAAAGCAAGTTTACACAAATTTTCCAGCGCTGTAATGAACAAAAGTAGAAATACTTTTAAGTGTAATCATACTGCGCTGGGTAGCTTAAAATAAGTATGAATTAATTATATGATGTTCTGTTGATACTTTTTTACAATAAAGTATACTATCAGATAAGGTAAATAAAATCTTGACATAGTCTATGTACAGTTGAATTTGTCATTACGATAAAACGTGGTTTCAATCCGGCTTGCTAATCCGATGGCACAGTTGCCTTGATTGCAAAAGACAGAGTGCTAGAAATCATAAATTAAAATTAGCTACTGCTGTAGGGAAAACTAGGATTGCTCGTTTTGCTGTTCCAATATACGATTGGTAGATATTAGTATTCGAGCGGTCAGCATTGGGCAGTTACAAAAGTAAATTTCTTCCAATAAATGAGGCGGTAATCGAGAAACATCCAATTGGCTGTTATCAAAACAAGGTGTATACAGATATTCCTCGGTTGTTTTATTGTATCTTACGGTGAATTCCAGTCCTAAATTGATAAATGAAGTAATAGAATAATTTTAAAATTATTTTATAAATTATCTTTTACGATCTGATGGCTGTATTATGCATAGTTATCATATGGGTACAACTTCAATGCTAACATACTGCTTTGACAGGATTTATTTTACTTTGATGGATTTTATTGTCAAACCTTTTAAATCTTGTGATCGAATTTTGAATACTTCTTTGTCCTTATTAACACTACTAAGGGGTAAGGGCTCAATATCTAATCGATTAAACTTTTGATATGCTTTGATAGTCATCGCTTGTTCTTCGATAACGTGCTAAATAAAAATTGTTGATTTTTAATTTATATCTCATCAAAGTATGGTACCCTTGCTATTTCTAGACAACAAGGATAAGCGTACAAAGATAGGATATTGATTGATTTTATTCTTTCATTCTCACCCTCATCGCTTCAGTGTCAGGGCTTTCAATTCTACTGTTGCGCAAGTTGTTTAACCTTTCTCTAGCTTTATTTAATTGGTGCTGCAATTTCTTATTTTCATCCACTACAGTTTGCATTTTGCTATGGTGACACTTGAAGTTCATTTCAGTTATGATATGCAACCGATGCAGGTGATCATTTAAGAAATTGTATCTTGTTAGCTAGTCCATTTAGTATCCAGTATTTAACATACACGTATTAACGTCGCTTATTTCTATTCATGGTAGATGGATTATTACACTGGGTACCGATAACTTACCTCTAACGCGTCTGTTTGTGAATGATTCTGTTGATCATTATTATGCGCGTTGTCTCGGCTATCTTTTACACCTTGTAATTGCTTTTGCAGGTCTTGCTTTTCATCGATGATACTTTGTAATTTTTTTCGATATAATTCGATTTTTTCATCAGATACTGTAATAAGCAAAGATTGACTTTCAATTTAATTTGATTCTTTATTATACATTGTGGTATTGGATCACTAGATTAGATGCGTGTCTACATCTGCGATAGAATACATCTTAATGGAAGTAATTGATGTACAGGATTAGGAAATCCTTTTTTGTTCAGTTCAGTTCAGTTTGAATATACCTATATACTTATGTACTACTATCCTTTCTGCTACTGCAGTTGATCATTTTTATTTACGATAATAAACACAATATATCAAGTGTGCTGTATCATATGGCATGAAAGTTTCAACTCAGATCAACATCACCATGATATGACAATTTTCATATCAACATCGTGTGTAAGACAGGAAAAATAAATACTCAATACTGCACTTACCTCGACAACGTTCTTGACAATCTAACTCTAATTGATGATAGCGTCGTTCGGGTTCAGTCTCTCTGGTTTCTAAAAGTTTTTCGAATAATGCGCGGAAAGTATTTTCATCGGAAGGAATGGATTGATTTTCCTATTAGGTAGAGCATAACATTGCAATGGCTTATCACTTTGTAAGTACTGATTTATTTTATGCAAGGTGAAAACAGTGACGCACGTTTGACACAGTTTCAATGAGCAATATTGGATTCAAAGGTTCAAAAATGGTTGTATTCCATTTGTACACGTATTGATCGTACATTGCATAGACAAATGTGGGATCAAGTGCATTACGACGGAAAAGAGTTACTAGTTCGGGGTATTTTCTCATCTAGTATAAGGCCTTGTATTAGAATCCTGTTAGTAGGGTTTTGATTGGATACACTTAGGACATAGATGTATTGGTAGTCGTATGACAAGATTACTAATAACATAAGGGCATAGGTTATTCAATATACAGTACTGTAATGGCAGTGGTACGATGAAATGACTAATGATGTAACAAGAACGACATTGATTGATGTACTGTTTTTTATTTCAGGGATAGATGGATTGATGGAAAGCTACGTTCAAAATCAAGATATCATCTTGGTGGTTACAAGTAGGCTTTTCACTTTTATTGCAGAGTGATTTCAAATGAACTCTGTATTGTGATGATGTAGCGAACAATTTGGACAAGTCTGTCTACTGGTCAAGCGATGCATTGATTCAATAAACAACAATATTGTAAGCATTCATTGGCGTCCTACGTTGTTGATGGAGGCGATTGGATGATTGATGAATAAGCGAAAGACTATACTGTACGATGAAAAGAAGAGATGATGTTGATCGTTATTGTAGGCTGTGATGTGTGTTACAGAGTGATTTAAAATTGGAATGATGTATCAGGAATAGCCTAGGACAAGACTTTCTACTATGATGAATGGATGCATCCACTGTGTATTTTTCTACACGATCGTGAGGGAGTTTTGGACTGGGACAGGAAACTGCAGTACTATCAAGGCAACGAAACGTAGGACGAATACTCCAAGTTATTTGAAGCGTATTTCCCACTGACCTTGGTCGACTTTGAAGTTTTCCTTGATTGATGTCTATTTCTTCTTGCCATTGGTGAATTTTCATGACTGGAGTCGAGAGGACGCTTGATCCTAGTATACCTCCTCGAGCTGCTGGTGGCCATTTTAACAATTTGAATAATTTTGAATTTGACCGCTACCGTTAAAAAAGTTCCACAATAAATAGAAATGCTGCTGTACAGTGTACAGTCCACTAGGGGACTGAGCTTACGATACATTGTACTGTGCCTGCAGACCGTGCTACTGTAGTACAGTATTTTTGGAGGATAAATACTGTACTGCAACCACTGTACACTGTACGAGACTGCAACAGAGGGTCGAGACAGACAGGCGCATAGTACAGTCGACAATGTACTGTACATTGTACTGTACACTGTATACAGTACAATGATTGTAGGCGTGCTTGTACTGTACTGTACACTGTACAGTACAGTACAGTACAGTACAGTACACTACACTGTACATTGTACTGTACAGTATAATCACCTTAGCCGCAAAACACAGTGCTGCAAAATGGCGATTTGAAGGGAAACAACAGTCGTACCTTCTTCTGCAATGATTTCAAATCTGCAGGATACTGACTGAATTCTAGTTTGAAAATTGCATCGATTGCTCCTTCATCTATCTTTTTATATCAAATGACAGGCAAATTTGACAGCTTGACTACAATTTAGAGCGCCTTACACCACTCCAATAACAACCGCCTCACACTCGTACACTACCGTACAGTCTACAGTCTACAGTATTTTGTGGCCAATGTGGACTGTACTAGCGTATCCAGCAACAGGATACGACTGGTCTGTCATAGACTCACGGTCGCCATCGCCATACCAATGCCTTGTACCTGGCCTGTTCCTTCAGCCAGTTGGCTGAAAAGTCAGTCCATCCATCCAGGAGAAAGTAGGCACTACTTCGTCAACAGTATCCATTCAAAATGGCCAAGTAGGCAAAGTCGACACAATTCATTGCTTTTACTCATCATCATCATCTGCCACAGTATCGCCATTCATTGATCATCTTCATCACAAGTAGGAGGACCAACGATGCAAGTGTCTAATCTTTATAGCAACGACGCTGACACAACCAGTTCGGATGCTGATTCAGATCCTGAATTACTACCTGGCTGGGAGAAAAGTAAAACATCGACTGGAAGAACCTTTTACGTTGAGTGAGTTCTACAACATCGTTATCCATCATTCTACAGCCAGCATAATACAGTACTCCAATACAGACTGCATCATCATTCTTCATAACTTCTTTCAGTGTTCATTCCCTTGGCCATTTTCATTCTATTCAGGTTGCATCGTCTCACCGGCTATTATCAATCTCATCAGTCTATCATGTAGTTAGGCTGGAGTCCTTTGCTAAATACGCATATCATGATACAATTGACTTTTGCTTTTGTAACAACAAACTTTTCCATGCATAATATGTATTGTATTGATCTACAGTTCGACAGCTAACTCAATACTCTAGTAGCGACTGGATGATTGTTATTATTCCTTTTGGCTTGGGCTAATCGCTGATGCGTTTAGGCTAGAAATCAATTACTGTACTTATACGAGATTGACTTCTGCCTTCTTGTACTAGTCATGGCATAACAATCATTTACATCGAATGAATTCCGCTACACCTGCACTGTATTTGCTTTTATCCAAGGTTCTACAGCGAACACAATACTCTAGTAAGAACTGCATGATGGTTGTTGTGATAGTCATAGACTTACCCATTTTCATTCTGGTTAGGCTAGGTTGGGCTAGTCTCTGCTACGATGATGACGGCATATTTGTACCATGGAATGAGGCATTGATCCGGCTTAAGTCCTTTGCTAATCGGCTTCTGCCCTCGTATACAAATAATGTCGTCGTTGATATGAATACGATGTGATAATACTATTAGCCTGATTGTCATAACTCTTAAATCAACAAATGTGATAACCCTTAAAGCTTCTCCATGTAGCCAGGATTCTGATTCATTTCAATTTAGTGTGCAATTACTTTCATGGTATTAAAGTCATCATGTAATCAAAGAATGTTGTCAATATGCAAAACAAGTACACATCAAATCCACGCATTAACCCCATGTTCACAGTCAAACTCACTTTGGCTTCTCCTGGTAGCCATAATTCTGTCTTAGTTGCCTTCCCCTTGTTCTCAACCAATCTGTATTACATTACTTGTATGCTTGTACTACGTAAAAGTAATTTTGCAGTAATAGGATGTTGTCAAGGCTATTAATGATACTCATATAAATGGACTTTATCTTCATTTCTTTATCGTTATAATGTACACGTTTACTATTCTGTACAATGCTAACTGAAATACTGTACATGATTGTCTTATTGATAGCCATAATACTCAAACGACACAGTGGGAACATCCGCAACGTAGCCACAAGAAACCGCATCAAAAGATCGGTAATGCACCATATACTAATGCTAGTGTAATTATGCTTTAATGTTGACAATCTTCACACATCAAGAAATCATAATAGAGCACTCTAGTTGCACTGTATGTTGTATTCATTCAATCATCCGTTGCTTAAGTTAATCATGAATGATCATCTTAGTCCATGCCTTATGCAATTCTCTTGTTGCACCGTATGTTGTGTTCATAAAATCGTCCATGGTATCAACTTACTGCTATTCTGTAGGTTACTCGTTCTTTGTGTTAATAAAGGTTAGCCATGCCAATTAGCAATTCAATAATTCCAATTCTAATCTCAGATTTACCATTTGGCTGGATTCAAATCAAGAACGAAAATGGTACAATTCTCTATGTCAAGTAAGTTGTTCATTAAAGTGTTACTCCAAAGTCATGATAGAAATGAACTACTGTAATCATAATCAATACGATTCCAAAGAGTTGATGCATTTTAATACTGTTAGAGTATGCAATAAAATTATTTAAATTAGGTAGCCATCAAGATATTCTTGTAATAATTTCGGTAATCGCATTTCAACAATCTTATTTAGTCAAAGAAATCAAAAGAAAACCTATGTAGATCCAAGATTAGCTTTTCGAATGAAGAAAAATCGCCGAGTATTTGATGCTGTTTCAACATCAATGGACGTCCTACAGGGTAGAAACTTATCCGGTGGAATTGCACTAATAACTGGAGCTACTAGCGGAATTGGTTAGTTTGTGGTCTTACTAGGTCTAAAATTAGTAATTTTATTCGATTTGCTGCTTTTGAGTAGTTATGAGCCCTTTGTATATACGCGTAAAGTGTATATAACCTTAAAATCTCAATTTAAAGCTAGTACATCTGATCTAGTATAAATTTAGGAAAAATTTTAATTCATTACGATAGATAAGGGAATCATGGCTTATATTATTGTTATTTAGCATATAAAATTATGAATAATTCGTATTTATTTCCATGTATGACAATGAATACCGTCAATGGTTATACACACACAATCAATTAGTATGTTATTACTTCATAAAGACGTAGACTACTGGGCAAATAGATAACTTCAAAATTGATTAGTAAATTCAACATATCGGATACATGCTAAGTGCAGCCTAAGCTTATTTTTATCATGTAAAACTTGACTACACTCATAGATTTATTAGAATATTGCTGCTCGATCGATACTGGTATTACATTCTAGCTCTGATATCATTGCTAGTAAATGATTGATTATTGTCTTATAGCCAAATTGCTGATCAATGTTTAGGATTTGAGACCGCTCGAGCTCTCGCACTGCATGGGGCTTTAGTCATAATGGGCTGTCATGATATCGTAAAAGGATCTATCGCAGCAAAGAAGATTACAAAAGAAGAGGTTCATCTACTCTTTAAATTACGAACAATTAAGATATGAGACCTATTCGTACAAGTTAAAAAAATGAGGCAGTTACTCATAATTTCTATTTGCAAATACTTCCCTTCTACTACTGTACATAATTATAGCAAGACTTAACTTTTTATATTTTCTGCCCTAATTATTCTGTGTTTTCATAGCCTCTGGCGAAGATTGACGTTATAGAAGTAGATCTATCGTCTTTAAAGAGTATAGCATGCTTAGCTGATGAAGTTTTAAAAAAATACAGGTCGGCAACTTTATGGGATTACTACGTGAAAAATTACCTTGACTAAGGTCTGATCAATCTTGTATTACTTGTATCATTCAGGCAATTACATGTAATCATTTGTAATGCTGGTGTATTGGGATTACCGTGGAGACTAACTACGGACGAATTGGAATACACTTTTACTGTGAATTATATTGGTCATTTTTATCTCGTAAAATTGTTAACTGAGCTTCTTATTTCCTCCTCGCCGGCAAGAGTTGTTGTTATTTCTTCTGAGTCTCACAGGTCTGCTGAATTATGCTTGTCAAACATTCACATATTATCGCATTAAGAATTGACGTCTTTTGCATTGCAATTTCATTTTAGATTTCCCACTACTGATGGAAGTTCGTTTAATGTGGAAAATATTCTACCTTCAAAACAGCAATTTATCCCAATGGAGGCTTATAATCAATCCAAATTATGTGGAATATTATTTAGTAACGAATTCAATCGTAAATATTCATGCTACGGTGTGACATCGAATGCGGTTCACCCAGGCAATTTATTGCCAACTTCGCTATGTCGAAATTCATGGTTTTATACAATTTTATTTTTATTGGCTAGGCCTTTTGCTAAGTCTACTGTAAGTAGCATTGCTAATGAATGATATAGATGTATTCGATATTTCGCAGTACGCTAAAGTTATAAGAACCTCAACAAATTTAATATATTAAGATCAACAAGCTTGCTACTACTCGTATCCGTATTCCACAATTAGTATAATTTTATAATATGAAATTTGATGGATAGTTTATTTCTCTCGTTTTAATTGTTATAATCATTTTAGGTGCAAGGTGCTGCTACGACTACTTTTTGTGCAGCAGCTAGAGAGTTGAATGGTGTTGGCGGTTCTTATTTTAATAATTGCCAACGCTGTGATCCATCGCCTGAATCTCAAAATGAAGAGTTAGCAAGAGCTCTATGGAAATATACTGAAAGTTTATTAAGCTGTAGAACGATTCGGTTACTTCCTCAATAAATTAATAAATTCTGTATTTATAAATTATTATGAACCATTTCCTCGATCATGAGTAGTCAAATGAAATTCTTATATGCCACCCAAATCCTAAACTACCACCGTATGTACATATTTTATTGGATAAATAATTATTTGCTGTGTTATTGATACAGTATATCCTGATAGTTATTATTGTTATAATTAGAGATAATAAATATCCACTATAATCATGACAAATTACTTAATGAATACTATGTAAACGTGTATCATTTTATTTGCTGTTAATGCATCAATTTTATACCTCTTAACTGACTGAAAATAAAGCTGTTTCTACCTAAGGTGCTATCTGAATCGGATCAATACAAATATATCATTAATTAACGGAGATGATAATAACAATAAAAGCATAATCTAAGGCGGTAATAATTAATCAACACAATAGATGACAAGTACGAGTAATAGTAACAAAAAGTTTAGAAATTGTAAACTAAGCTATAAATCGTAATAGGCTTATACCTTATTTCTTGCAAGTAGGAAAGCGTGCAATCGATCTTGTAGTTCATCAGGATATTTTTCAAAGTTGGTGAGCGCCAGTATTTACTCGTATAAACGAAAATAGGTACTCTTTCTTTTGTACTAGTACTTAGAATACTAGAATTAGTGTCAATCTAGTACTCCATGAGTAACTCACTTTAAGATGCATCTGGCACATTGCTCGATATAAAATTTAGCTTGTTTTGTTTTAACGCGACACAATCAATGCTTGGCTTCACTACGTTCAAATTTAAATAAACTCGTGTCGAAAAATTAATCAATGTGACAAGATAGCCATTAAAAAGATCACTTGCTATTACATGATGTATATATTTATTTATTGTAATCCACACAATTTTTACTTATCCAGAGATAATATGCATTTCTTTACAAGACCATTCCTGAAGTTATAAATCATTATTTATATAATTAATTACCTTATTTACAACATCGAGATAGACAGCGCAAAGTGAGTTCTATTGCTTTAAATGTTATGACATTACTATGCATAAAACAACTTGAAGGCTCTTCCGCTTAAATTAAAAAATAATAATGACAGTACAGTCATGAATGAATGCTTAAAAAGCGTTTTAGCTGAATGTATATCATGCAGTCGTTTAGTAAGAATTTCTATAATTACAATGATACTAGTACATAATTTAAACCTGTTTTTATCATTTCGTAAAACCATCATTGCAATTATACACATAAAATGCAGAGGCTCAGCACTTGTCATGGTTAAATTTATGGACAAGGAAAACGTGAGCGAAACTTGAACATTTGGTAGTTTCTATTAGGGTTATTAACTGTAAATGTCCGATGCTCTTCGAATAGTATTAAGTACGGCGTCCACTCATTGCAATTGCTGAAAAATTATAACTTCTTTCAACTAATGTAGTTGTTTCACAATTTAATAACAAGTCGAAGTACTAATTGAATGATAATTAACGTTAAAATAATTCATTTTTCGTGACATTTAAAATATCAAAAATCATTGTACAGTAGTTTGGTTTCACGCACATTGAAATATGCAAAATGCAATTATTATAATGAAATACGACGAAAAGCCAACTTTAACTCAGTAAACTGGATCTCCCCATATGATTACTCTTCTTAGTTTGTCACAACTGACTATGTGGGTACCTTGTGGATGCCATGTACATGCGATAACCGGATTTCTACATAGAATAGAACATAAACAGAATTTGATACATTAAATAAAGAGTACACACTGTTAATGTATTTTCATATGAGATTTTTATAGGCTGAAATATACGTACGTATGTTCTTTAAGGGTCTTTTCTACACGTGTACTATTTGTATTCCAAACAAAAACGGTACCATCAAACGATCCACAAGTCACATATTGACCATCCGGGCTAAAAGAAAGAAAAATTTAACAAAGTAAGCAAGAAATCTCGAAAAGACGTTAAACTTATTAGATGGAAGTAGTAATTATATTCTATTATCGTCAAAAGCTGTCATAGTTATGAAAATATGTATAGAAGATATACCTGAAACAGGCGCGACAATAATCTAGCGCTAAACGGAATCCATCAGAACTATAAATAGGATAAAATAGTCTAAGATTGGTAAAACAGTTAAAACTGTTATTTGAAATTTTCGTGCCTTACCAGAACGTTCCTGTAACTTGATTCATCCTTAGATCGATTAGTTTTAACATATCATCTCTTGAGCTACTAAGTAAATAGGTACCATCTAAAAGTAGAATAAGACGTTAACAAAATAAAAAAACAACGTAGTCCAGATAAATTTCAGGGTAGTCACCTGGAGAGAGCGATAATGACGTAACTTTTCCATGTAGAGTAATTTCATTACAGCTTGACTCGGATCTGTAATTCAGTACAGGTATCATAGTATAATTAAGATATCGATAAAGAACATATTGTTGTAACTATTTGTCGAATATCACGATCGTCAATTTCTCATAATTTACCTGATATCCCAGAAGCGGATACGTTTGTCATAATGTCCGCTTATAATATTCGCTCTGTAGATTATGAGTTAAAGAAACGATTTAAAATTGATGAACGTATTTGGTACTATTATTAATGATACATGAACTGTTTTACTAAATTAATTATAAATACTATAATAACTTTATTTCTACCATTACTGACCCGACGCCATCAATAGTAACCAAATCATTGCAGCTCGAACCAGCAAATATTGTTCGAATACCTTAATTAAAATTTATGGCTTCCATTAAATAACGCGTACAGGTCAAAACGTTCATCGTAGCTATTAGTTATTTATTTTGTTAACGCAACTCTAAGTAGGCAACATTAAAGTTTTCCTGAAGGGATAATGCTTATTCAGTTGACAGAAAAGTTATACTAACATGCTCTATTCTTTAAATCCCATACTTTCAGTGTCCTGTCATTACTACCTGTAACCTAATTAATTTTAAAGTTAATTAATAACATTATTCAGGTTTATATAAGATAGAACCTTAACATACCACTCTTCCCGTTTCACCGAGAAATTTTGCTGCTAGCACTTTATTTGAGTGTCCAGTAAGAGTATGCTATGGAGTATATAAACAAATTTATTTCATGATGGTATGCGCGTAACAGAAATAAAGCAAGGTATGGCCATAAAGGTGATCGACTTACCCTCAGCCTTTGGTCACTAACACTCCAAACACGGCCGGCGAAATCATTCGAAGCAGTTAAAATGTATCTTTCCTAAAAAATAAATAGCTATGATTAGCTTTTAATATACGAAAATAACTATTAATCATAAATTAATGTACTTGCGAATCGAACTCAATCGCCATCGTTCCACCATTGCTGCCGCGTAGTACATCTCGCTGTGATGCTTTTGCTGCAAATGTAGGTTTATTAAAAAATGTAAAGCTTATAGTAAACGGTGAAGAGTAATCACTATTAATAAATTATATTGGCTAAGCAAATCAAGCGTACCTCCTTGTAATTCCCAAATCTTTACTACTCTATCACCTCCACCAGTTGTAAATACTGAACCTGAAGGGCTAAATTTTACGGCAAACACTTCACCCTCGTGGGCATCCTATGAATATTACATCCAATTGAAGGTGGTTCCCATTTCATTAATACAAATTTTGACTTTTATGGGGAAGAACTATTAATATTTATGTATAAATTGGTACGAAGTAGTAGACTTACAAATTTACACAACATCTTAGAAGGTAAAACTGCTCTCACTATTGGTAAGGGTAAAGCTTTTGCCTGATTACCCGCCATTCTAAGCGATAAAATCAAGGTTACACAATTTAATACCTCAGTGAAGTTAAAACGAAATAAAAGCTTGAAATGAATTTACTATAACATCAAGACTACAAATGCATCCTTTAATAAATTACTTTGGAGTCGGAGTTTCACGCGCCGCTTCCAAGAGGTCATTCTGAACTTGCTGTTGGCGTATTCTAAAATTTATTTTAATAAAAAGTTAAAGATATATACGCCCAATATTTGCAAATAACATTTACGCTATTTCAAAGTAAAATCAATGTTTGATAATAAGATTACCTTGTACTTTTATCATTGGCATCATTGAGCATATCTGCTGCTCTTGCCTTTTCTCTCATCCATCTTTCAATCTATTTTTATAAAAGGTTCGTTGCAATGACGAAATTACTAAATTAAAAATTTCCTTTACAGAATACATTATTAAACGTACCAAATCGCGATTTTCATTTTGTACTTGTCGTAGTTTGTCCTCAACAGAAGTACATGCAAGTTGTAAAGCTTGCTGTTCATCTTTCAAAACCTATTATACAATTAAAAGTTCTACGTTACACTTAAAATGATTTACAAGCCAAGGAATCCTTATTGAATTAATTTTTCGTGATTATCCGTATTTGCCTGATTGTTGGTAATTAATTCGGAAACTCTTTGCTCTAGCTTTCTTTTTTCAGCTTGTAGTCCATCTTGAACATTTTGCGATTCAGTCACCCTAAGCAAGATGTATTGCAATTCAGATTTGAAGAAAATGTAATAAACTAATCAATTATGTAATAGCAAAAATTTAAACACAAAAAGCTAACTTTTTATCTCGTTTTGCGATTTCGTCGTCTTTTGTTTGTACTAGTCGATTGAGTTCAATAATTTTTTGAGCATTCTAGTAATAATGAATACGTAGAAGTGAAAAAACGCGAAAAAACTACCTGTAGACAGTATTCAATCAGAACATTTTATGTTGAAATCCAATCAGTAGGTGATACGTGTACAATATTTACCTCTCCTTTTCTTCGATGCATTTCTGTTAATTCCTCTTGCAATTTAAAAACCTTTTGCTCCAGCATACTGATTTTCTCGTTTGCCATTGGATTAGCAGATCCACTACTGAAAGTAATTTTTAAACATCAACAAAGGACAAAAGAAAACACTGTGTGTTATAAATGGTAGAGGAATTACTACTGATGCTAGGGTAAATATACAATATACAGCATATCAATTAAACTAGACCACGTTTGATACTGTTATCCTGTATTTACAATTATTTTTAGGTGGTTACATTATTGACTGATGTTTGTAACAGCACAATTAATAGACTCATTTAGAAAAGATTTTTATAGACTTTTCCTTCTACACGATACTATCTATAGGTCATTCTTCAAGATTGCCAAGCTATTCCCGGGAATGACCGATTTTCGGAATTAACGTACATATATAATATAAAGGAGACTAGTCATCAAGAATTAAAGCCATTACGCTTTAGTTTCTCTTACCTATTTGATCTGCCAAGGGCATTTTCCTTTTCCATTAAACAAAATTAAGAAAGCAAATAGCATCAGTGATTCAGTTATAGTAGCAATATTTGCACAGGTTATATATCATACAAATGTTGTCGGTATAGTGAGGCTATCGTATTTTGTTGTAACTGTATTTCTACATTAGGTCGATTTCGCAAGTATAAAGTAAAATTATTCAGAAATTTCATACCGTACTGTATTTACTCAGTAAGTAAGCAGTTTAGTACTCTTTCTCGGTGTAAATTATTTTTAAAAATCAAGAATAAATGTACGCTAACCGATATAACTGATATCAAAGCTTAGTTAAAACAACTAGCACGTCTGTTGTATCCATGGCAAACGTGCACTACTTTACGTATACGTATAAATGGGTCAAGATACTAGTTACAAAGAAAATTTAAGATGACAACCACAGATTGGTGATTGTTCTATTTATCGTATGGCTAAGGCATGGATTGATTCCAATCTATCCATTGGAAGAATATAGCGATTATATTCTTTTGACGAAGTAGTATGCTTGGAGTTAATACCATTACCTGTTCCAATTGTGCCTTTATAATTTCTAACTTGACATTCTGGGCTTTTAATGATGCAGAACTTTCAAATAATCGATTATCTATAATTAAAAACAAATCATTTCAATATTACCGGCAAAAAAAACAGCTAGCGATTCGATGTCCAAAAAACATGGATGCTGCCAAGTCGTTTTTTAGGGTAAAACTAAACGGAGTAGGGCTACTCAAGATAATAACCTTTTGCAGTAATATCCTTGAAAAGATGGTATCAAGACATAAAATGTCTGCAACTAAAGGCAATTTTACTTTTATGTGATAATTTAAAATTCTTATCTACGGTAAATTCACCACTTTTTCGCACTCAAGGAGACGTAAAATTAAATCAGACATTATTGTGGGATAGTATCCATTTAAAGGTGGCAATCCATGATACTATCGAGGAATTCTAGCGTGCAGTCAAAAATCCATAACAAGATAATCTGCAACTATTCAAGCTGTTTATTGAGAATATTATATGATGTTGTCATTTTCGTTGGGCATGCTACAAATATACTGGCTTTCTCCATTCCGGCGTTCATACGTGTCAGTAGGACATTAGGAAAATTATGATCCTATCGGGGATACTACTGCGGTACGATCTCAGCTGTCAAAGCTCTCAAGCACATAAGCAATGCAGCATGATAGTAAACACTGGTCATTATCTCCTTATGCATTGGTTGCAACTATTCAAGCTCATTTCAACTCTAGTCCGTTGTACACATCAAGCCGATATGTTTTGTCGAAATAGACTAGATACTGCCTGGATGAATTTAAGGTTCTCTCTTGGCAGTATTGATCGAAGATAGCCAAGTCTTTAGACAGTACCTCATCTTTCCATCGGCTGTTGATGTGCCACCATGAAATCAGTCTAATCAAAGCACTCGAATTCCCAGTTTCAATAACTGCACAACTTGATTTATACCCTAATTTCTCAATTTTATCATAAATGAAAGCATTCTATAGAGAATTCAAACATGGAGGACAAGCACAACGTTTAGCATGATCATGATCTATTGATAATTATAACATCCTGTACTATCGCTGGTTGTTATGATGTTGGCTTTCGCTCATGCTAGTCCAGTATTAGTGGTAAGTACTCATAAAGACTAGTCGATCATTCGTCCGATGATTGATGTCGGATAATTCAATCTCAAGTTACTGTGGTTGTATCCTGCAAGTCTAATATCGCATTTCCATCCGTATTTGAGTATGAAACATAGAGGTACTGCTATCCCTACAGTGATTTTCATAGTGGATCCAACAACAGTTGGAAGTACGTCAGCGATCCATGTTGTATCCATGGAAATAAAAAAGTACAGTAGCAATTACAACTCGATTTATACAATTTCTACGATTCCATCATGAAGTAGCGCCAATCCTGATTAGACCACATTCAGAGACGTGGTTTTTACCTTTTAATCCATTAGAGACTGGTTGCACAGAATCGTAATATGTCAAAATCAGCGATATTGGTGTTCTACAGTAAGTAAGAGGCTACCGGCCAACTTTTCATGATCATGTGAAGAAGCTTGTTTTCAATGGAGGCGCTGCTGTATGCTCAATTGCTCATCAAACGAATAAAAAGATCCTTTTCAAATGCTCAAGATTGATCACCGCCATTTCTACACGTTGTTCATAGTCAAGATTATTGTATTTCTGTTGGGAATGGCTGCCTACAAGTCTTGATCATTTCAAAATGAAATTAAAAGCAGTCGATATCCATTCCTCTACGGCAGTCATTATTGGTACAAGACTTGCAAGTGACAGCCTTTCGATCACGGCTGAACAGAGTCGTTTGAAGGTGTAATTAGCTTGACAAAGTTAGACTGGATTCAGTGAGAAAACTGAAGGGATTCAATTGCATGATGGAAAGGGTCGTTGTAGGGTAAAATGGAGCAACGATTAGGGCTCTCTATTTGGTGTAATAGAGAAGAGTAAAGCCTTGTTTTTGAGTAAAAAAAATGACCATACGCACGTCGACTGGTCTACAGTACTGAGTAGTGCAGTATCGCTATGGTTGAATGAATGCTTTGATGGTCATAAGTGGCGGTTGAACAAAATCTGCTACGTTAAGCTAAGATTCGATCAGAAGAAAGAGTACAATGAGGATCAAGGACAGTCCTTGATCTATTTTGAAAGGAAAAGGACACAAAATAGCCCTGGGAAAGTGTGATTTGATCGCTAAACATAGTTCAACACCTTGGCAGAAATGATGGATTGAAGACGATCATCCAAGTGGATTGCCTATGCATATGTGTCGTCATGATTGTCTCCAATAACGTGAATTGCTTTCAATTGAAGATGATTTACAATAAATTAAGACGATAGAATACAAGTTCAAGCCTTACGTGCAACTATCACATCGGAGAAATAACCACGTTCAATTTTATTGCGTTGTTGTAAGCGTTCTAGAATTTGATCTTGCCAATTCTCACTCGCTGAATTCGCCATCTTGATGGAGTGGATTGAGCAAATGACGCAAGCGCACCTCCTTCCTTTGTACAGGTCACCCTTTGGGTGGCGTCTTGCTGTTTTTACCTTCACCCTCCAACCCCGAGTGAAGCCAAAGTGAATGAGACGTGATGACTGTATGAAGCGCTTCGTTCGTTTTCTATTTAATGGAAAGCTGCCTTGTCAGTCATCCATCCGCTCTTCCTGTCAGCTCAGTCTCATTGAACTACAGTTGACTACTGTATGGGTATTCGATTTATTTTCTCCTCAATCGAAAGCGGCCTTCGATCTGTCCAGTCTTCTGTCCTTCATGAAATTCGACGTTGATCCGATCCGGTTCTGCTCCGGGCCTCGGTCCGCAGAGGTACAGTGCAAAGTACTGACTGGTCTGACGAGAGCTACTGTACACTGTACACTGTACTCTCCAAGTCTCTAGTCTGGACGGAGAAGAAGTTTTGCTGATGTCGGTGCAAGCAAATGTCGAAAAATTGAGAAAATTTGCGAGTTTGTGCAATTGATTTTCCATTTTCAATTCAATTTTATACCACAACGAAAGAGAACGAGTTGATTGACAAGATTCCGTCGTCGAACTATCAGTGCAGTACTCAGTGTACGCACTGTACAGTACTGTACTGTATTGACCCATCCTATTTCGTAGCATTTGTGCCTATAAAGGGAGTTGAATTTTGGGCAATTTTGGTACAAGCAATTGTAGAAAAGTGGCGAGCTGGTGCAATCAATTTTGCATTTTCAATGCAATTTTATACCAAACGAAACGGAATGAGTTGATTGACAAGATTCCGTCGTCAAACTATCGATACAGTACTCAGTGTACGCACCGTACTGTATTGACCAATTCTATGTTGTAGCATTTGTGCCTATAAAGGGAGAAGAATTTATTTTTGGCGATTTTGATACATGCAAATGTAGGAAAGTGGCGAGCTTGTGCAATCGATTTTCCATTTTCAATGCAATTATATACCAAACGAAAGAGAACGAGTTGATTGACAAGATTCCGTCGTCAAATTATCAGTACAGTACTCAGTGTACGCACTGTACTGTATTGATCAATTCTATTTTGTAGCATTTATGCCTATAAAGGGAGTTGAATTTTGGGCAATTTTGGTACAAGCAATTGTAGAAAAATGGCGAGCTTGTGCAATCGATTTTCCACTCAATTTTATACCAAACGAAAGAGAATGAGTTGATTGACAAGACTCCATCGTCAAACTATCGGTGCAGTACTCAGTGTACGCACCGTACTGTATTGACCAATTCTATGTTGTAGCATTTGTGCCTATAATAAAGGGAGAACAATTTATTTTTGGCGATTTTGATACATGCAAATGTAGGAAAGTTGCGAGCTGGTGCAATCGATTTTCCATTTCAATTTTATACCAAACGAAAGAGAATGAGTTGATTGACAAGACTCCTTCGTCAAACTATCAGTACAGTACTCAGTGTATGCACTGTACTGTATTGACCAATTCTATGTTGTAGCATTTGTGCCTATAAAGGGAGTTGAATTTTTGACAATTTTGGTACAAGCAATTGCAGAAAAGTGGCGAGCTTGTGCAATCGATTTTCCATTTTCAATGCAATTTTATACCAAATGAAAGAGAATGAGTTGATTGACAAGACTCCTTCGTCAAACTATCAGTGCAGTACTCAGTCTACGTACTGGACTGTATTGACCAATTCTATTTTGTAGCATGAGTAGCTAGGAATAACTTTATGACGAGACTAAACTGCTGTACTGGAAAGCTCCAAGCTGATTTTTTACTGACAGTACAGTATACTGAAGCAGCGTTCATTGCCATGGACATTGCACACTGTACACGAATAGTACTACGCTACTGTATACTGGGAATTGGGACAAAGTCGCTGTCATGGCGAGCCAGAGCATTGCAATGGAAGATCTTTGGAATCTGTCAGTCATGCTCTTGTTAGAAACTTGAGCTATGCAATGCCAACCCATGATTAACCCGCAGTCTAAAGCTGATAACTCTGGTACCAGCTATGCTGTACTCAAGAATAGAATTGTTCCTATCCATTGCACAGTATCTTAATCATTTGCCAGCTATTTTGCATCCAAGTCATTCTCCGCTCAGTAATGCAAAGAATCGTAGGTTCTCCTCCATTTCTATCATCGGTACTCTTCACAGTGAAGGCTTGCTTCCATGCTAAACCATTCAGCATCAAATGTCCTAAGTCATAGAAGAAAAGTATCGGTTGTCTTGCATGATTGGGATTCAGTGCCCCTTCCTTGCTAGCCACAGTCATTTGCATACAACTCGCTCTGCATTCCCACTGTTCATGAACAAGTAGCACTGCGCCTCCATGCTCAATTGCTCGTGTAGGAAATTAGATCGCTTTGCGGCGTCATAATCGATCATGGATCGGTAACCTTCACTGTTCGCCACCGTCATTTTGCCTACTCTGCACTTGGCTAAATGCCTTGAAGAAAATAAATCAATATCAATATAGGGTAATAATATTGTCATATTGATTAACTGTATACTAGTGTACACTGTACAGTATAGAGAGCACGAGACGGATATACGTACTACAGGACCTGAACCATTTCGAGAGCGAGTTCGGTAGTCCAAGCCCATCGTCAACATGCCTAAGAAAGGCCAAGCTAAAGGTAAACCTCCATCAAATGGAGAAAATGAAAGCAATCATTGCATCTACCATTTTTTATAGTCTATAAAATAGACCAGCAAGATTGTCGTTTGACGAATGTAGTCATGGAATAGGGCTATCGTAATCAAATTGATAGGAGCTATTTTTATTCTAGATTTACCTTTGCCTACATGACCAATTTTGGCCCTTGTTTGCAAGGATTGAATTAGGTCATGCAACGATCGTAGTTTTGTTATTTTACGATCAGCCAACCACTGGAATAGCATGATACTACGCTACACTACTGTCGAAGTAATCATATTAAACGTAGATGGTATCAATCGAGTTGTTCAAACTCTTCATATCATAACATTGACTGCATGACAGACGTCATTGCCAATGCTACACAAGGTGTTTGGTTAATGAACGCAACCAGTTTAGTCGGTTGGCAACGCTGTGATGAATGGCTTGAATTGAATTTGATATTGCATTTTGTGTATAGTCTATCTTATAAATAATAAATATGCTATTTCTACCCTGCATATATTTCATCAAGGCAAAGGGAGCTCATCCACTAGTGCAGCAGAATCAGCTACATCTTCCGATAAGAAAAAGGGCAAGAGTAAAGGTGGCACTGCTGTAAAGGTAAGCCTACGACAAGAAACCTTGACAACGCTGCTACGCCATGGCATCATGATGCAGTAGCATTTGAGTGCATTCGATAAAATGGTCCGTAGTGTTTTATCGATGGCAGATACAGCGTGATTATTAGAATGGCTCTACTGACGGTGCTGTAAAATAGAAGATATCTGCAATTACGTATAGACTGAAGCTGGGCTGCTACCCATTGAAGGATGGTTCATTGCATTCACATCTCTAAAATTAATTGACTATTACAAATACAGTAGTTCATTCCACTAGTACACCTTCAGTATTCTCTTATTATACGTACTAGGTTCGACATATACTATGTGAAAAACACTCTAAAGTTATGGAAGCTATGGCCAAATTAAAGGAAGGAATTGCTTTCAATCAAGTAGCTACGCAATACAGTGAAGATAAAGCTAGACAAGGGGTAAGCAAGCAACACAAAATACAGCATAAGATAGTCTTGGACCTAGAACGGGCGATAATTACTGTAGTGTTACATAAATCTCGTTCAGTAAAAATAGATGGCAAATTTTTAGTAAATAGTTGTAAGTAATCAAGATATTGATAGTCTTACTTGTTATACTAGGGTGATCTAGGATGGATGACTCGGGGATCAATGGTAATAAGTTTGCTATACTTACACTTAAATTAGGCATTGCTGTCATGATAACAGTTGTTGTACTTATCTAATCCGTTGTTGCAATGCAGAAATGTACTTTAGCCGATTGTCATCTTTTTCTTTGGCATTGTGAATCATTGAATCGAATGAATAACCTAATTAAAATTGCACTGTGGCTACAAAACCATTTTAACTTGCAGCCTAATTACTTTTCTTTTGCATGATTGAGGAAATAACGCAACATGTAGAATTATAATGTCTAATAGATATGGTAGCTTTCTGTATATCTTTCTAAGCAATCTTCTGCATGTAACTGCTTAGGTTGGACCATTTCAAGAAGCTGCCTTTAACTTGGAACCTAGCACGGTAGCCAGTCCATCATATACAGACCCACCAGTTAAAACTAAATTTGGTTACCATATCATTATGATTGAAGGGAAAAAGTAGAATAACTACATGAGTGCTAAATTTAGGCACGTCTTTTTTAAGCGTTGTATATATATCGTAAGATATTATTTGTAAGCAGTCACGATGTGTTCATTTCTATAACGCAATATCTTGTAAAATCATGGTAGCGTCAATTTCAATACCACACAAATTTAGAGATGTTTGGTTTATTATTGCCGCCATGGCATGGATGCTGGCACAGTGAGATAATGTTGATATGCGAGAAGACGGATATGGTGGCTATTCTACTTTACCTTCCGAAATTGAGGAATAATTGACGTTGACATAGACGATGCTAAAATGTGTGGTACAACCGAGAACACAAAAATAGTATTTATTTTGATATCAACGCCTCAAAATAGGCTTCCCAATAGAGTAGAAGATGAAAACTATCCCTTATTGGAAATATTTCTATTTAGGATTTTATTGAACTAGATTAAAAAGAATAAATGATTACAACGTTCAGGATCAACTCTAATAAATTGATATTATGCCATTTTACTCTAAAGTTTATATACGTGTATTTCTTCGTCGCATCAAAGCTTCTATTTCTGTCTTTCCATATGGAAAGATTGAATGTATTTTTCAATTGTTGGCAAGACTACAACGTTAGATTAAAATATCTAGCTAATTTCTACTAAGACCACTTTACAGTTTTGAGAGAGGAATAAATAACGAGTGGGATAATATCATCTCTGTAACTTCTCGATGAAATGTTTCAGCCAGTGTTTGAATATCTGCCAGATCCAATTTAATGTACTAAAATACGAAAGTTAGGAGTTAATACCTCAAGCCATTTCGTATCTAACCTGAGTCATGGATTTTCTATAGAGTGTATTACTATAAAGTTTTAGAAAAATTATGTCTGCTATAATTTCCCTATCAAGATCGCGCTAAAGGTTACATGCTCATCGTTAAAATGCCATATTAGTATCACAACGCCCTATTGCAAACTATCATGCTATTGACTATATTTATTGTTCGATGATATACCCTTTACGCGTGCTAAAATTAGAAATTTTATTAATAAAAAAGGCTAATTTTTATCGATACAAGATACAGCTGAATAATGAATCATTAAGAGAGTGAGCATAACAATGTAGTAAACTGTTATTTAAACTGAACGTGAGAATTTTAATATTGTGGTTATATCCTGCCAAATAAATATCTCCAAGTAGCAGCATTAACAAAAATTGAGTAAAAGTATATTCAAATATCTCCTTTAAAGTTTGGTAGTTAAGATACAGAATCAATCAATTCTATTACTTATCAACATAAAATAGGTTCAATTAACAATAATTATAATTATCAGAAAATGCCCTGTTGGGTTGATATCTGACCTCTTTTGTAGATCCCTTGAGGAAAGTTGTTTTATTACAGTAGTTGATTTTGATCACTTTTTAAAGCTTTTCGTTACATGAATTAGTTAAAAGCATTATACTTTTGTCTTTAAGTGCAGTAAAATCATATTAAGTTATTAGTAGCAAATTGTGCCTAGTAAACACAACAAGAACGTAGCTTCCATTTTATACTTTTAGCAGATTTTGAGAAGCAGCCAGTAGAAACATAGATAAATAGGAACATTCAAACTGAAATATAAGTTAATATTTTTGTCTTTTCAAGTGCAGTAAAATCATTCTTTCAAGTTATTATTAACAGATTATGCCTGGTTAGCACAACAAAGAAGTAGCTTCTATTTCATCATTTTTAGTAGATTCAAGAAGCAGCTAGCAGAAACATAAATAAATAGAAATATTCAAATTGAAATATAAGTTGAAAAAGGTACTATTTGACAATGGAAAGGAAATAGCAAGAAAAAACGTTTTAAACATAGGATAGTAATGAATAGCTCGCAGTCGTTTCAGGAAAACAAATAAGATGATTCATTGCTATCGTCATATTAGCTGTAAAATGATTAAAATGATTCATTGCTGTATTATTAGACTAAACATGGTACCAATTGGAGAATCTAATTAAAATGAGATTGAATAGTGATAGTCACAATTCTATTATACCTAAAGTGATCCGTACTTGTAATTTATTTAATATAGCAATGAAATGCAAGACTAACAGTAAGTAAAATCATTTCAGAATGATAACATCTGTGATCGCCATTCTATCAAGGTTATTCTGCATAGTTGTAGTAAGCTAATACACCCATCAAATAACTCCCTTGGATAAGAGTACATTACTCAAAGCAATTACCTAGATAGTCCCCACGTCGGGCCAATTGGTATAATCCTATTGAGGTAAGCTTATGACTTCAACAAGAATTCTACAGCCATAATTATGATTTCGTGGAAGCCATTTGGGTAATGGATATCTGTTGAACTGATAAACACGTACAGGTACGAAGTACTTGCACTCGCGCTCTTTTACATAGGAAGACTTGAATTATAGAAATGAAGTAGAAGACTAAATAAAATCATTTTATAATGGTAAGATCCATAGCCTCCATTCTACCATGATAATTCTGCATAGTTGTATGCTTTGAATTAGAGTACATTTATTCGAAGTGGTTACACAGAAAGCTCAAATGCCAGGCCAATTGGAATACCCATGCTGAGGTAAGATTGTGACTTTGGGAATTCTTCTACCGTAATCATGATTCCGGTATGGTTATTTTGGTAATGGATACTTGCTGTGCTGATAAACATGTACTTGCACTGGCGCTCTTTTTTATAGGAAGACTTGATCTTGGCGATTGCACAGGGGTAGAACCCACACGATGTCGACGACGTGGTAAATCTTTTGTAGGTCGATTACAAGACAAGTATCGATGGATAAATAACTTTAGTTTCCGTCGTAAGATACCATTAGTAAGTGTATATAATATAGGATTAACTGCCGTATTTAAGAACGTAAGTAAATAAACCATTCTCTGAGTAGAAGGTGGTAAGAATTGGTTTTGTGTTGGAGCAGACGATTCCGCGATGGCGAGTACCAATAATGGTACCCAACATAACATATTAGTGCCAACAATTAAAGATGTCGTTCTAATAGATTTTTTCAGATTTCGATCTTGAAAGTAACCAGCTACATTTTTACTGTAAGCAACAATAAAAATAACAATGTAACAAGTGATAGTTACGCTAACACCAACGATTAAATAACTACTAACAACATAACCATAGACATAATTGGTTGTGTTGACTCCTTTGACATCTAAATTACACAAGACACTAAATCGATACCCATTTAAACCCACAATTTTGCCTAGTAATGGCATAGTAGCATAGCAAAAAGGAACAAGCCATGCTAGAACAATTTGAAAGATGGCTTTGTTGACGGTCATTCTCGAACGATAAAAGAACGGATTAGTGACTGCGATACAGCGATCAATGCTAATAAGAGCAGTGGTAAAAAGTGAAGTACCCATAATCCAAATCAGGAGAAAGCCTTGAAAATTACATAGTCCTTGTGATAATTGATTATATACGTAGCACATATTGGTTACAATAATGCTTGGCAAGACTAACAGCGCACTAATTAAATCCGTCACGGCTAAATTGGCAATAAATAGTGTATCTACATCTTGTTTTAATGATGTCCGACAGACGATGGTTAAGCAGAAAGTGTTACCTAAACCAGACACGATCATAATGATCACAGCTCCTGGAATAAAGTAATATGTAAAAGCATTAGATGGTTGCCATTGATCCAATGTAGTAGCTTCCGTACTGACATTGGTAGTAGTGAGATCAATCATGATGGAGTTGGAATAAAATGATTCCAGATGAATACCACCCTAGGTAAAGACTACTGAGTCTTACGGTATTTTGACAATACTTGGCAAGGACCAAAAAAATAGTTATGATCGCGCTGCATAACCAGCGCATAAGGAGCAGTAAAGTAATATTTTCTCCGTTATTGTTCTATTCAGTTTACTCTTTTAGTAGTGTTGCCGACTAGAAAGCAAAAAGAAGAAATTAAACTACTGCTATCATTAGAAATCTCAATGTTATCTGTACTAAACTAACCAACAACATAAATATATAAATATATATATTATATGATAGATATAACTGCTACATTCATAGGTAACAACGTGAAAAATTCAAATTCTTCTCCAACTAGAAATCTCGATAGCATCTGCACTAATTCAAGCAATACGATGTAAAAAAAGTGCAAATAGCGCTAAAAATTTAAGAGTTATTACCACAACGAAATTAAAGATAAAAAATAGGAAAAGTGCATACTTAGTTATGGCTCCTACTTTGCAAATACTGTAAATGACAAGAAGAAATTTCGATATGATCTGTACTCATCTCAGCAATTACATTAAAAAAAAAATGGATCGGATAACGATGGCTGTATTACAAAAGTTTCGCACCAAGAAAGCCGGAATTATTGTTGAATCTCGACAAAGTAATTTAAGACTAGAAGAAGATTTCACACTATTGCGTTGAAGTGCAAATCGAACACTGTTTATATGGCAAAATTTTCAAAATTTAACGTTAGAAAAGTATTACCAATACAACATAGAGATCGCTTTTATTTGTATTATCGCCAAGGTATGATTATTACCATGATATCATTGGACTTGGAGACCTGTGATGGGGATACTACTAATTTTGTTTTACAGCGGTAGTTATAGTCTTACGATGAAAAAGCAATTTATAGATGGAGTTACTGTCTTATACTGAGAGTTTGTTTGACTTTATTTACAGATTGATATTATTCAATTTCCAAATAAGCACCTGTACCATGTCAACAAGAAAATTTTTTTACTCGTAATTGCTACTCAAAGAATATATTGCTACAATACAAAGCATAGTTGCTTTAAAAGAGTTTAAGTAGCGTATGAGTTAAGGTACGCTAAATGCAAGTAAAGGAATAGATCGTATCGAATATCGATGTCAGCAAAGCTTGCAATTTACTAATTTTGATGTTATGGGATGTTAATATTAATTAATCCTAAATAAAAGTGGATACTACTATGGCTTATTTTAACGCAACTGGAAAATGACATTTCCAAAATCCTAAATGAAAGACTGTCTTGCTGTATGTGTATCTTATGGAATTTGAATTGCTGCTCATGTAGGACAAATCAATGAGTCTTCCATTAGATTAGAATTCCGTATAAACTTACTGAATAAATGTATTATTCTATCCCTTCTATAGTAAAGAGTAGCACCCTTGCTTTTCATTTACCCTAGTCGGAAACCTTATGCACAATTTGCTCACTGTGAACGACATTCTTTGGGCAACGAATATCGGTTTTACTTTGGATCAGCGAATTGATGGAGATAATACTGTATATCAGTATTATCGGAACAGAAATATCGAATTACTTTCGGTGTTGAATGTCAGATACCAATTTTAATCATGATTTAATATCACATAATATCCCACTCGATGTTGTCTACGTGAGCGTGAAAACATAAACAAGACTTAATATATTGCCGGCACAAATTCGTAGATATTCAATACTGGTATTGTTCATATTCTTATAAATAACAAACATTTATTACTATTGAGTGATGTATATATATTATAAATGAATGAGGATGCTAACCCAATCGATTTCGATGGAACGAAAATCGGGCTTTAGAATCGTATTAATTATGTCGGAAATGGAGAGGTACCGGTATAGAAAGGTCAACTACGGTGGAATAAATCGGTCAAGCCCTTGTATATTGTATTGTATCAATTTGCATGATAGAACAAGCTTAAAAACTAGCTATAAACACTTGAAAACTGTTGGACGTGATGGTAAATAGGCTATTTAAAATAGCCATTTCATATCATACAAAAAAAATTGTAAAGGTAAAGAGTCAACATTATAAATGGTTAATAAATTAAATAAGTCAAGTTGATTGTATCCAAAATGTATTATTTCAAATTAGACGTTCTCTTCACGATACTATAAGGAAACAAGAATCAATAATTAATTAAAGAACATTACAATGGCCAGACTAAATTTATCTTCGTAGTTCTTTTAGTGAATTGAAAGAAGATATAAAACCATCAACTATTCCCTACGGTGATCGCTACGGTACCATTTAGGTGTACGAAAATGATAGTGTTATATTTTATTAAACAGATCATTAAGAGAAGAAAAATACAGCTACATAATGCAACCTCTATCGTTTGGGGTGAAATTAAGCTGTTTATTATTTGTGTTGGTTTTGCTTACTATTTGACCTAGATGAATATCTAGTACTGCCAGTTCAAGATGGATTGCCTTCTTTTTATAGATTGAGTTGTCTATAATACACTGGTATGGTTATTTTAATTTTAGAGAAAGAGCTAAGATTCTAAATGCTATCCTGATGTTGAGTATTCGATTGGTAAAACTATCATGCCTATAAAAGAAAAGCATGTAAATGAATGCTATCGACTTTATCTTTTTAAGGAAAATCGATTGCAATATTTGAATTTTATGTTGCTCAGTGAGAAAATGCGATATTGCTATTAATTATTTTTAATAAAGTCAGTAAATTGCAATAGTCAAGCTCCTGTTGCCATGCGGATATTTTAAAAGTCTTAATTAAATCAACATCATTTTATAACATAGAATAGATTATTTCTTGGCTGTTGGCTCTAGATTTGTTGCTATGATCTACTAACTGATTTCATTAATGCAATTCTAATAAATTAGATTACAATAGAGTTTACGGCTGATCTAGACGACAAATTAATAAAGTGTAACTTCAGCCATATTATTAAGTAATACAGGATCTGATAATGACGGCAATGATTCTTTCAATAAATTATTCCTGAGCGAACAACATAGTAAATGCCTTACAAGTTTATAGGATGAAGAAATAAATTTATTAGGCAATTATTCTACTAAATCTAGAGGTACGATCTTTTTACTGTTTTGGTAGTAAAATAAAGATACTCTACCGTTACAAATTCGAAACTTAGCTGCTAAATAAAAATGAAAAAAGGAATTTTCTTAAATTGGTATGCTAGTGCTAATTAATTCGAGCAATTGTTGCACTGGTAAGGGAATAGTTAGATTTTACAATAATGATTATATTGTCTTTAAACTGGTGTATGCTAACAAATTAAAGAGCCTAAAAAGAGATTCTCAAATATTATGGAATAGTCTAAAAGTTGAAAATGGAATCAATTTTACCTGGAAGATACTTTTGATTCAGTAACTTGCGAACCCAAAGGCTAGCTTGAGAGGAATTACTGACGCGTTCTGCTAAGCTAAATAGATAAATGGTTATCGCTTCAGTTGATAGGCAGATTATGATAAACTAGGCAATGATAAACAGTAGTTGAATAAATAGAATTAAAGATTGCGATTAATTCAGAATTTAAATAATATCTTGGTATGATGGTAAGAATACTCACAACGGATCAAAGCTCATAAGTGACGAATTAAATATTAGTGATCAATTTATATCTGATTCTGGCGATAATTTATTTGGTTACATTAAGTACAGCTTGTCTAACCTATGCTAAATATAGTGTGATCGGATCATCGGGATTATAATTATCGAAAGATCATCAATGCACAAAATGGGGTTATTATCAATTTATGTTGACAATACAAGGATTAATAATCCAATTAAACATTTGTTATTCATAGCGGAGGTTAATGGATTACATCTGCTATCACGTATTATTTCAAATGGAAAGAAGCAAATAGCTATTCGCCGATACTTTGCTTGAGCTACAATAGCAACTGGTGAAATTATTTCTATGCAATACAATAGATACTTAACAGTCCATTTTAGTTGATCAATAAATATTAGCTATATGATATTAATAATTATTCTTTTTGACCAATAACTCTTAATTGAATATCTCTACATTAAACATCCTCTAAAAATTGCTTGTGCATGAATAAGCACGATAGAATTTTTAACCATTTTAATTCAACTAGGCCAACTCCATATTGAAATAATTACAGGTTAGTATTATCATTTATCAATATGGCAAGGTACCGGTATTATTACTGTTAAAATTTTGCAGATATAACAGGCATATACTCTAACAAGTAAATACATAGGGTAAAAACTTATCAGTAGTCATTTAAGGTCTTGATCTTTGTACAATTTTCTTCACTTATAGTTAAGACAAATGATCGATGATCATCTAAGTGAAGGCCTATAAAAGTATTGAGTGAGCGACCATCTATCTGTCACTTATATTGAATTTGAAAACTTGGGGTAGAAAAATTAAAAGGCAATACTTAACCATTGAAGTGAATAAATATGTTACCTGGCCGGCAAGCAGTCATTCGATGTCACTTTCTACTAGTTTAGCGGCGCATTTGTTTTAAATTTCTTATCTGCTAAAAATGCGCAAGAATAATATAGCCCAAAGATGATCAAGTTGCTTATAAATAATGCTATATTCTACTTTAACCCTCAATAATTACTAAAGACCTGTAAGCATGCCCTTAATCAGCCAATTATTCGTGTTACCATATAATAAAGTCAATTTTTCGTTTATTGTTTTATTTCTTTGATGCACGTGAAATTTTATTTAGTTGATTTGCCGTCTAAATTTATCCCGGGCGAGGCGCTTTTCAATGGCGATTACCATTGCTACATTGTTATTAATTTACGGAACAAAAATACTGACCAAACCCTGACTCAGTTATGCAATTATTACTAAACCCATGAACTGAATAGAATGTTTAGG